GCTCGTTGCGTCCTTACGTTCAGTTCAATAACACAGAGCTTTCTTTTTTTTAGAAATAGGGTTCTGGTCAAAGTAAAATGCCATCAAAAACAAGCATAACCGCTATTTCTCGGTAAAGATTTTTTTTTTTTCCTTTTTTAATTAGAGGTCAACCTACAATCAAGACCAAGGAAGGAAGACCTGGACTCAGCATAATTTCCGGGCCTATCGCGCTAACCCGTGCGCTCCTCCATGTTATCCGCTGCTCCTAGCATTCCGGTGCAAAGCGGTGAAGCTCGACGCGCGCGCGCCCTGGTGAGAAGCGGTGAGAAGTGCCGCGGGTACTTTGTCGCCACGGCAAGGAGGCATGCGGCAGACATGAAAAATCAACTGACCTCATCAGGAGCAATTGCGTAGCCATGGGGCTTCAGCCCCCCCCCCCCCCCCCCTTCCCCGAAATTCAGCTGATCCTATAATAAAAATACCCCCCACCCCCCCCCCCCCCCCCCCTGTGCATACCAAGTCATAAACACCTCACCTTCCCCCCCCCCCCCCCCCCCAATAAAGAAAAATTGGCTACGTTATTGATTACGGGTACAATAGTCTGGTGCTGTCTTATTCAGTAACCACCATCCTCCTATTTCGCAAAGTTTTCTTGCGCCTTTTTAGATCCTGACATCACCTGGAAATATAAACGATGTCGGCAAACAACCGGGCTACGAATCACCCGGCCTACGCGATTGACGAACAATCTGCGTTTTACCCTAAGTCAAAGCGCAGCCGACGCTATACAAGCCAGCGGAAGCGATCAATCGGTGTCAAATCGCGACATCGTGGCATCGGTCATCTTCCTATACGTGTTATTTCATCAGCTATAGGCGAATCAAGTGCAGCAAATGTCCCGCGACTTGCGCTTTTAGTATGTGTGTTTATGGTTGTATGCGTTCGAAGCTTCGACTATGCTCTGACCGAAGATGAGACAAACTATACGGTAAGTGGAGACGCCGTGAAATATGTACAAATTTGTACCATTTCTCTTTCCATCTATACTTCCCTGAATATGAAAGTTGATTAATGATTAAATATCCCCTTTTTTTTTTTTTTTTTCGTTGAAGCCTACTTGACGCGGGTGCGGCGCAATTCCTACCAAAAAATGACATTTTGGAGCCAGGTGTAGCAGATTCGTTCGTGGAGCAATTTGGAGCAAATGGCGCAGCAACTTTATCGCGGGACATGTGAGCTTCGTAAGCTATGTGGCAAAGAATTCAAGGTGTTGCTAGGCCACCATGCACTGAAGAATAGAGCGGCCGTAGCTCGGCATTTAGCTGAAAGAAAGCATGCCAAGCCTGGAGCGCGCCAGTGCTCGAGACTCGACCCCACGTGCCACTCCGTATGTGCGCTAGCTTTGACAGTGCTTTCTTTCACACGCGGTCTTAGCAAAAAAAAAAAAAGGGTTTTGTGCATGTTTCTACTGGTTTATACAGCCTAGAACTTGGTCTGCCTCACGGTGGTCTGCCTCAACGGGCGACGAGCCTCCCAGCTGTAGAGGAGAAATTTAGCCAGTGCAGTACAACCGCTAGCTTGGGGTCTTTAACGTGCATCACGCCGTAATGATACACGACCGCACGCGGGTACGATGCTCAACCAGATCGAAACGGGCAGGGATTGAGCCCAGGATCCTGGGTTCTGCAGCGCTCGAGCTTTGCTCCACGTGCTCTGAGCTGAGTGTGCGCTAGCCCACTCGGCCACCGATCCCCCTAACGCGATCTTAGCAGAGACGCTGTTTTAGCAAGCCGCCCCAGGGATCTACTCTACTCAGAAAGGAAGCATGCTAGGCTGGCAGCGTGAGCTGTTTGCCATAAAAGACGCATCTACTGCTCGAGAAAGCTTAGAGAGCCGGCGCCCTCTAAAAACCCCTCGATAAAATCCACGCTGCACCTTCGAAGTGCATGACTTCCCGCCTGTAAACTTCGCTATGCTTCAATATAAAAACATGGAACGCATTTTCGTACTTCTTAGTCGACCGCGCGGCGCTTAAACGTTGCGGCCACTCTGTATGCAGGTCTTAAAGTAGGTATCATTTAGACGGTGCTAACTTCCGCTTCATTAGAGAGTTTTAGTAGATCGTTCCCATGACTCCGATAACGATACCCGATACTCCGCCACCGCCTTCCTTGTGCATGGATAGTATCGTTATCGGGGCTATCGGAGGTATCGGGACGATCTACTGAAACTCTCTATTAATATCGTGACGGTGAAAACGATAAACCGTCTTGGTTCTATGTGCTCGAGTGTGTATGTAACATCAGACTTCTTTCATTAGACACGCGACGATATACCGAGAGGCAAAGATATATAAGGTCAACATAATAATAATGATAATTCGGGTTGTTTGGATATTTATACAGCGTGTAGTTGGTCAGCCGTTTCAAAGTTGCGACGAGTCACTCGCTGTAGATGATCACTTTAGCCAGTGCAGTACAACCGCCAGCCTGGAACTTTAACGTGCACCATGCAGTAGTGATACACAACCACACGCCAGTACGAAGCTCATCCAGATCGAAACGGGGGATCGGTGGCCGAGTGAGCTATCACATAATAACTCGGAGCACGGGAAGCGAAAGCTCGCGCTCCAGAGCCCAGGGATTTTCGGGTTCAATTCCCACCCCTGCCCGTTTCGATAAGGTCAACATCACGTCGGAGCTTTGTTTCTTTATTGGTTACCCTCAAAACACTCAGTTGCTGTCGTCCAAAGACCGCGAAACAAAATCAGAACACAAATAACGTAATATCTTCTAACTTAACTGCAAAAAAACAATAAAAACACAGAAAAAGTTATTATTTCGCGCTAACCTTGTGCCTTGGAGCTAACTCCAGCGACCTCACGCCTCAAAACTGGTCAAGCGGGGATATCAACAGTCTTGTCCGCAAGCAGTACCTTGAGCGTTGTGTTCAACCTTCTCCAGATAGTGTACGTCTTGAACAGCACGTGAAAGCGAACGAACCCAAACGCCACCCAAAACAGCGAAAGAGCCAGAAGAGCCGAGGCCAGAGCAGCCGCAGATATCCTGGAGGTGGACTTGTATTCGTACAAGACGTAGAGCCAGGCCATGCAGAGGACAACGACGTTGCCCAAACTGAAGACGACGTTAGCCAAGAATACCGCAGCGTCCATCCTCGAGTCCTTCTCCCAGAACCATCTCCACAGAGCCTTTGTCCTTCGGCGTACAGGGTACGCTGCCCCGCATGTGGGGCAGGAGGCTTCGGGACTTCTGTGCAGCCAGTCTTCAAGACACGACCGGTGAATGAAGACGTCGGGGCACCGGCAAGGGCAGCGGAACACTGGCTCGTCGGCGTTGAGGCCATCTGAACAGAGTCGACAAGGGATGCCGGCGGCTGGCACCGTCCCTGAACCTTCTTCCATCTGTTCTGCTGCTTCGCTTCGGCCCTCACAGCTGCCCCGATCGGTGTCTTCTGAGCTACTGTCATCTCGATTGTCTTGAGCGACCCCGGGTCGGAGGATGACCCGGCTGGCGTTGACTCTTTCCTTCTGGGTGTTGGGGCTGTTTTGGATGATGTCCCTTTGGTGACCTCGCGGAGGTTCCTGCGATGTGTCCTGACCAGGGTCATCCCGATGATAGTGGGGTGTATCCGCAAAAGAGTTAACCCGGTCTGACGATGGCGACTGCATTTTAATTCCGGAGACGTGTTTAGTAGCCGTCCTACGCCGTGCTTGATGGTTCTGTTGGCTGTATGTCGAAGCTTTGCACGCGCCGGCTGAACTATGATGTGCCACGTCGAAGAAAAAAAATATCAGTGGCCAATGATCGGTGCTAGGCTGAAGCGCGTGCTCCATATCGAAATGTGTAGCTGCGTATGTTGCTCCAGCCGAGAAAGCACACCAGCGCAGGAAATGCTCGAGACCCGTGCTCCGTGCATCCTTGCAGTATTTCGTACAAAATGTTTATGGAGTGGCGCAAGCATTTATTTATCCATCCGTTTATTTAAGATCAATCTCCTTCGGGCATTTTCTAAAAAAAAAAGAAAAGAAAAAAAGAAGGGGGTAAATAAATCACGTGGTTTACACAAACGTAGCTTAACTTACCAAAGCAAAAGAAAATGCTAAATATGTGCATTATATAAATCAGTCTCTCTTAGGACAAATAAAAAAAAATACAATTCGAAACTTGAAGGTACCTGCTGTAGCGATAGGTATATTTCGAGAGAATTACTTCCATTTTTATCATTCTTATTTGGAGTTAGAAAAAGATACAGAAATAAAGAGAAAGAGAGAGAGAGAGCTTAGATGTTGTATTCGTAAACTGGAGACAAAGATATGCAGAAGATGACCGATAAGGACGTCTTGATACCACTTATTACGAATAAACCAACCCCCTCACCATTACTTTAAAGCTAAAAAAAATCTAAGTTTCTTTTTCTCAGTGTAGACATATGTCAGCGACATTTATCACGCATCCAAAGAACGTCCGTGTTTATATTCGATTTAATTCCATGGTCGCACCTGGTGACTGTAGTCGCACTGCATATATTTGAAGGCAACATGGCAGCAAAGTCTTACATAAAAAACTAACATGTAATCACGGTTTGCCTCGTCGAATGTCGGACACTTTTTCATGGGTACATATTGTGTCCATAACTTGAAAAATCTCACGGAAAAAAAATCCGCCTGACAAACATTAACAAAGATCTGAAACTGCTTGAGGGCGTAGGGATTTTCAATTACATTGAAACACAAGGAGTCAAAAAGTCTGACAGCTTGCTCGTAGCACTCGAACTTTGACAGCCGGAGCTTCTCTTTGATGAGGAAATTGGCAGCGGATATATTGCTGCTAGCTATGAAGTTTGCGATTTCGAAAACTTTGGTTTCTAAGAAGGCCCTTTTCTGCATGAAACTCTTAATCTCCAATCGGAACAAGTTTTCTGTCCGGATCAACAGCTTGATCGATTTTTTCTGACAATACAAACAACAGAACGTCTTCCATGTCGACCAGCTCCGTGGCCTCCTTTAGGTACCCCTGAACAGCCAGTCCGGGGCCCTGAAACTCACTCTAGATTCTTCTTCACTGAAAGTCGAGTTTTCAAATACCAAGTTTTCATATCCCGCGATGACACTCCTTGTCAACCTCTTCACAACTTCGAACTGTCCCAGCAGTGTCTGTCGACTATGGTCCTCTCTATCAGAGTCTTCCATTCAACTCCCGCTGAAGCGATTACCCGGGATGTCAGTCCCCCTGGGTCGAGGTAGCAGACACTGGATACAACGTCAGAGTTGGTGGCGGTCAGCGTGTAAACATTCGAATCCTCAGGCAGCAGAAATTCAAACATGGAGCCAGAATTGCAGGTGTCCAGGTAGAAGACCATCTTCGAAAACTTCCGGTGAACCTTCAGTTCCACGAGAAAGTTGACGAGATCGTGTGCCTATATCGAGTCATCCGGAAACTGGATCATGTAATTCTGACCTTCTCCAACGAAGTAGACTAAGACTTGGTCGTCTGGTTCGCCGGCGACCACTTCGCCACTGCCATAGGTTGGCTTCTGGCCTCGAAGCACGTTGAAGAAGGTCTCAGCCCTCACCATGCTGTCCGTGTAGTCCTTCGGCACGCCTGGATACACGTTGGGGCCGTTGGGGTAGTTGAGTATCACTCCCGGCGTCGGGTTGTTGGCGCTGTAGGCGATGTAGTCGAACATGGGGGCCACGGTGCGCTCGTGTCTGGGACGCCATGACTGTGGAGCGTCTGGTTACGCATGGCACACGCTTGCTTGATAACGGTAGTTGTCCCAGCGGTGTGACCCTGCTGCCAACACTACCCATAGTTTTGTTGCCGTTTTCTCCTTTAGGTATCTGTCAAGGACATCGGGCGTCATTGAGGTTTGGGAAATAGTAAGAAACGTCGAAAGGAAGAGCAGAACTGCGTGTGATGACCTGTTCACCGATGAAACATGGTGAAACCGTTGACGGCCTCGACATGTCTGAGGATTTTATGCGTTCCAACAACACGAAAGTGACAGGTGATACTGTTTTCCCGCATGGGGTGGAAACAGATAGAGAGAGGTATGGGATCAGTGTTCCGGGATAGCGATATCAAAGCACATAAAAGTGCTATTGGCAAAACATTGATAACAGTGGCATTATCTATTGGTTATATATGATATGGCGGGCTCCCAACCACTAATGAGAAACGTCCACCATTTCAGTATACGTGGAGTATAGACGCACATTATGTCTACGGCTTTGCGAACGTCCGCTAAAGAAAAACCTCGTTCGCAAGCGTTGATGAACGACTGCAAGTGCTCAAACGCGTACGAGTCTAAAACATATCGAATCAGAATACAACCCCGCCTTGTAACGGAACTGGTTTGTGAAATTCAGAAGAGCCACATAGGTGCAAAGTTTCCAACTTCCGGTGCACCTCGTGGTTCCCGAAGCGAGGGTACTTGCATTATACAATTTCGAGGAGTGCCTCAAAAAGAAGGGAGGGAGGGGGATTTTTCGATTAAGTAGAATTCTACGATACGGGTTGCTAATGTTTTCGAGCTTTTTTAACACGGTGGCTCTCTTCTGAACGACTCCATCAGTAACTGAACTTAAAATGACCGCCGCGGGTACACCCTGACCATGAAATTCACTCACCATCTGGTTTTCAATTGCTGGGTTTCCAAATCAGAACACGTGACTCGAGTACGTTAGTATTTTCACGATCCTTAATTGCTCTAGAAGCGTCTCGTGATTCAAGTCTTTCTTGCCGCTCCATCCAGCTGACACAGAAACGATTGCCAGTAGAAGTTTCCCTGTATTTGTCATAATGAGAGGTATACTGGAGCACTCGCCCGAATTCGCAGACGTCATGGCGTATACGGGTTGATGTCATCCGGCGGCAGATCTTGGAACATCGAACCTGAGTAGCAGGTTTCCATGTAAAACACCATTTTTGCCAATTTTGTATGTGCCTTCGTATCCTTGCGGGCACCCCTAAGACCATCTGCAAAGAATTGTCTTTCTGGAAATAAACGAAATTATTGAAACCTAGAATCGAGGAAAAAAACAAAATTAAGATGTGATCTTCAGGTCCGGTTTTGATCACTTTCCCACTGCCCCCCGTGGGTTTCTTCCTTTGAATAACGCTGAGAAAGTTATCGGGTGTAACTGCTTCAAATATGTAGACTATTGGGAGACATGCATACACATTAGGCCCGTTTCTGTGGTTGATGACGACACCGGGAGTTGGGTTGTTGTAGGCAATGCCAACGTACATCCTAACCACAATTCGTTGATCGGGAGTGTCATGTGTGTGTAGTACCTGGTACCAGATGCATAGCCAGAAAGGAGGGGGGGGGGCGTTTTGACCCCCCCCCTCCCCCCTCTCCGCACACCAAGTAATGGACATCTTAGCCACCTCAGCCCACCCCCTCCCCCCCCCCCCCCCCCCGCAAAAAATTCCTGGCTACGTCACTGCCATTGTACGCGTGGCAGTCGTTGGCCTGGTGCTTGTAATTCCAGTAGCCGTTGGAGCCAGCAACGAGAACCACCGTTGTTAGTGGAAGTTCACAGGTGTGCGTCGTAAATAGCGTAGCTCACTGAATCGGACCTGGAAGACGCGCACTTCAGAGACGTTGCCACATCCAGCACCAGAGAAAAAGGCGCGACACGAATGCGCGACGCCTCCTCAAGGTGTATACAAACCGGCGCCGTAGTCAGTGAACGTTTCACCGCTCCGTCAAAAAAGCTAAACACCCTCTCCGTTTTTTGTTTGTTTTTTTAGTTTGAACACGACAGCGAGCCGTGGCAAGCTGTGGTCGGTCGGAGAGTGAATTTGCGTTAAGTTTGTCGTCGACAAACAATTACCAGCCATATATTGTGCCCACTGGTCGTCTTGTCGACTACTGATTAAATTTATGTTAAGCCTCGCGGTGTTTTCCTTGTCCAGGTATTACACCAAGCTCATTTTCATTCGGGGTCGAGAAGGTAATCGTTCGCACGCATAAGTCGTAACTCACGTCACGTGTAATTGGCTGGGAGAATTTAGGAAGTCAGGTCTGAGTTGTTATTATTATACAACTGAGTTTGTTATCATTTGGGCGATCCATTATGAACGTATAACAATGGACCTCGATAGCAAGTCTATGAACGGCTAACGAGAAAGCACGCCGTCGTGCCATAATATTGCCTTTCTCAATTTTGAAAGCACGAAATTGGTTGAAGATCATCAGCGGCGGCAGTTTTAGCGTAAAGACAGTGAGTGTGCAGGCGAGCTGGTGATAGCTAATCATGTCATACAACGACTGAGATCTGAGCTTGAGACGTCCCCTTCTGTGTCCGTTCCTTCTACTAAAAAAGTTTCCAGTTTCTTCCGCCAGAGTCTCAGACGTTATATGACATGATTTTTAGCTTTTTTTCGTCTGCGTTATACCCGCCGGGGGAATTTATTATATTGCTTACCTTCAACTGCATCTGACTTTTCCGGCACGCAAAACAGAATAAACACACGGATGGGGGTTCTGGGCGGTTTAATGTGAGCTCTTTTAAAACAGTTAGTTTGATCATTCTGCCGATTAATTATTGTTTTAGATGAAGGAGGCACATTCATCACGGCAGGGGTTCCAGAAATTCCTGTTCCAGAAGTTCATCGACAACGCAACCGAAGATCTCTTCAAGTTCCAGAAGAACACTTTCCATGGCACCTTCTAAGATATCGTTGCTCGCGTTCTCAATAAACGTCCAGGGATTTTTCACATCCTTCAGTGGCGAGAAAGGTTTCTTCCACCTCATCTGAGACCCAATCGCTGTCTTGTAGCGTTCGATGTCGACCTCCAGGTGATCGGGCACGTCCAATGCGATCGGGGGTTTGGATTCTGGAGCTTCGCCGCAACACTGAGTTGCATTATCCAGAAATCTTGCAGCCAATTCTTGTTTCTGCTCAGGAGCATCGCACTCCTGCGCTTCTGACTTAGATGTGACCTTGACCTGGTCTTGCTGCGATGGGACTGGACCAGCTTGCCAGCGATGGGTGTCGGGAGACCTAAAAACCCTTTCCTTCTTGACGACGCAGAACCGCTCGTTGGGATCGGAATTAAGCATTACCCTGAATGTCTTGTCAAGGATTCGTTCATTCACCTCGAGTTCCCAATTTGCATCGTCAATCGGTGATGTACCAACGTCCACCAGATTCGGTTTCGCGTTGTCAACACCCGAACCTTGCGCTGCTGCTTTCTTGGAATCAACCCCGCAGTAGTCAGCACTCAGCTTCTCTAATTGGTTGTAATAAACTTTCAGTTGTTCCGCCAGACTTTTCACGCTGTACGCTGGTGAACTTGCGGTGCTTTTTCGACAGACCCTGGAAGGCGCCTTCTTTTGAGGTTGCGCCGTCTTCCGAATCGCTGTTTTCTTTGTGCCGGTTGGTAGGTCCGCACACTGGACGGGGATCTTGTGTTCGACGCAGTAGCATTTCCAGTCTTCCTGTTCTTTCAGTTTGAGTATCTGGTTCTGTACCCGACGGTGGTAGCGTTCAAGTACGCCAAACGTCGCCGGTGAAATCGGCTCGCTCATCCTTTTTTAGCCTGATATGTGCCCTCCACCCTCTCAGAAACGATCGCCAAAGCGCCAGAGGGCGGCAAGAGGTCTGAAATACACACGCACCTTCTTTTCGCCGCTGTCAGCAAACCAAAACGTCCACCCGTTGCTTGCATTCAAATGCGACGCCGTTCGTCGCTGTAGCAACACCACCCCATGCCACAACAACCTTCACATTTATGCAGGTTTTTGCTGCCACGTCGACTTTCCGACGTTAGGCGACGCGTGTTACCACCTATGATTACCACTCAACGCTTTAAGTATTTTTTTTTTGCCGATTTTTTTAATTAAAAATTAGTTATCTACATAAATGTTTTGTAACAGAGTATCAGAATTAACATCTACCTAAATATATTTATCTAAGCGGGATTTGACGTTGAAAGAGCTTGGCTAAACATCTGTTGTAGCTAAACAAAAACAAAAAATGCAACCCCAAAATTTGCGGGTTTTGTTTTTATTTTGTTACTTAGTCTAATATATTTTTATTGTTAAAAGAACAATTACTAAAGTTTTGCAAGACTATCAAATGAAAATGTGTAGTTTTCTCTTCCAGGAAAGCTAGGAAACCATTAAACAACTAAAACGCCCTCGAGGTGTAGACTAGCGCCCCAAGCGTGCTCTTTCGTAAGCGTAATTCGAGCCCACTCTGCCCAAATCGAAAGGGGCAGCAACTTGAGCAGGGGGTTGAATGCGCAGCTGGCGCAGCTTTTCTGGCGTAAATCTCACCGAGTGTTTGTAAATCCGCGCTCGGCTGTGTAATCCGCGGGTCTGTGAACGCCGTAGACGTACGGTACGCCCACCGATCTCGTAATACTGACAGTGACAGTAAACGCAACTCGCTGCATCGTGCTTATCACGATGCATAGAGGTCGAACGACGTGCCCTGCCCAGCGTTAAATGTGAGTCAAGCGTTAAATCGGCGCCAAGGTAGCCGAGCAACAAGAACTTCCTGGTCGGTCTTTAAAAGCTTCCTCATCTCAAGACCATGGGCACTCACGGCATGCGCGATTTTCTCGCCGAGGTCGCCAGGTTCAATGGCCAAACTGCCGGCCGTGACAGACTGTTCAGGTGAGTTGTTGGGAATTATGTTCTGTGGTGTGTGTTCACACAGCGGGAAGCCAGACAGCCCCCAACGGGTGTCTGACTTCGCAGTACCACTCCTAGCTTGGGGTACCGTGCATCACGCCGTGTGATACACGACCGCACGCGGGTACGATGCTCATCCGGATCGAAAGGGACAGGGGAGGGGATTGAACAGTTCAGGCATCGTATTATATTGGGTACTCGGTGCCACGATAGACCGGAACCGTCTTGCTAACAAATGCGCGCTGTTCTCTCTTGCAGGCTGTTCCAGTACAGCAGTCGCTTCGTCTGGTATTGGTTACAGAAAACGTCGTGTCGCAGGGATACGGTTGCGCGACTCCAGAACCTGGAGGTGCTGTTCAGCTCTGGTCGACGATGTAAGTGCTCTCCAGTCTTGGCGGTGCTTATGGATTTTTTTTTTTTTTCAGTGACGTCACGCGGTGGGCACGGGGCATGCGCAGTCCCGAATTTCAGATGTTATGTTAGCTGTGTGTGAAACATTGTGTTGTGTCTTGTGCTGCAGCTGCACAGCTGCAATGCGGGCTTCCTGGAGTGTTGTTTTATACAAATCTTGGTTTGAGCTTGCTCTGGCATACGACTGCTCACCAAGTTTAGCTAAGATATGGCGGGGATACCCGTGTGTGTTTGGTCGACGTAGAAGCACAGACAATGGACGACAAGTCTCTGGCCATTCTGTATGTGTTACTCTTTTGTTGTGTGTGCTTCAGCATTCCGAAACGACATCATACTTCACTCTTGTGACTTTGCTCTGTGCACTTTGCTCCATGCTCTGTGCACAAAAGCTTGACTCCGTGCTCTGTATTCTGTGCTTGAGAGCCCAACACCGAAACTTCAGGAGTACACAGCTTTGGCTTTTGCCGTCAAGTGGAAGGAGTTGCAAGTTTCTTTGCTCCAAAGTGGCTACTCACTGTGCCCGCCACCTGGAACCTGTCTCTGACCGACGTACTCACAACCTTCCAGTGTCCACTTAATTTCCACCTCCTGATGTCACAATCGAGTCTCTGATATCAGCGATAGCTGTAATGGTTCTTGGAGATACTCCGGCAGACAGCTGTAGCCAATTCTGCAGCTGACCAACCGACGGAAAGTTAAACAGCCACAGGTTCGGGTGCCGTGACGCCAGCACTGCTGATGCCCGTCCGTCTAGCTACTGCACCATTGCTTCTACGACCTGCCACCACGGTTGCCAGGATCTGAGCTGTTTCCTCAGAAGCTCCTTGGATGTAATTTGTTGCTGGAGACTCCAATGCATGGGAGAGGTATGGGATGCAATATATGTCAGTCGGGGGGCATGTTACAGGCACCAAACCTTAATTCGCAAAAAATTCCACTCGTATACACTTGTCCACAGAGCAGATGCTTGCAGAAGACCAGTCATTGGTATTATAAATGCAGACCTGCAGGTGACAAGACATGAATCAAAGATGAATCAGTCAAAGATGGAACATGTACTGAGAATTCAAGCATGTTAATATCAGACCATCGTTCTAGCACAGGCCTCGTTTGTTACCCCAAACAATATCTCCATTTCATCATTTGCTGAAATTCTTTTGTAAGTCCCAGCAATCCGCATTCGTGTGCTTTTTTAGGAAAGGAGCCACGTGGGCCGCATTCATCAAAAGGGCGGCCTTTCATCGAGCCAGTATGAATTCCTCTCGACTGAAATCCCTTGTTCTATATTACTTCTCAATTTCTTATCAGATGGCACCATTATCAGATGGCACCATTGTCAGACGTTATCAGGTGGCGAGCTTGCACAAGTAGGGCAGGAGGAAGATTGCCCTTGTTTTCTCTTTTTTGCGTCAGAAACAGCCTCCATAGTTTGTTGTTTTGGCTTGGTGCCAGAAGCATTCTGTATTAAACCACATCTGATGTGGTTGACAGCTTGTAATGCTAGGACAATGTGGCGAGGTTTTCAAGTCTTGCCCACATACTAGCAACTTCATTTGCAGAAATTATAGTTGTGCCAGTTCAAACATCTCTCGTTATGTAACAAATCATGACTAACTTTGTGCTGAGACAGAGTGTGGGCTACTTACCACTGGTGCGGTTTGTTTTGAAACTTCATCCTCTCTTAAACCAAAACTTGCCGTGCCCATTTTAAACTAATCTTTCTCGGGTCTTTCATTCAATGAAATAACGCAAGACTCAAAATGCACACTGTAACTTGAGCCCCGCTTGCATCAGGCTCGATAGGAGGTTCTGGTTCTTGTTAGGTTGCACTTAGCCGTATAATCTCCTTCACATTTAGCGGGCATGGAGTCTCGCTTACTATAATCAACAATGTATATGAAGTTAAGGTACACAGATGTTATAAGATGTGCTATCACGCACGGATGAAATGTGAACCGCAGAGCACGGGGCGTTAGATAAACGTTGCCCTACCTAGAAGCACTTGGGAACTGATAGCCCGTCAGGGTGGAGGGGGCTGCGTGGGTATGCGTCCTGCGTAGGATGCACACCCTCGCAGCTCCCACCCACTTTGCAGTGTTGTTATCAGTTCCCACGTGCCTTTAGGTTAGCGGAGTGTGTATCAAAGGCTACGCACTACGTCGTTTGTTCCCGATAGTGTATATCATTGAAGCAAAGTTTGAACAGTAAGAACCAGAAGCGACGTCTTCAATAGATAGCCTTTGGCAAGGTACACGTGAGGAGCAATAAAATTACAATGGGCCGTCGGAAGAGAATGCTAAAAAAATTGAGAATGTAGAGACGATAGTGTTGTGCATGAAGGTTACTCATGTTGGTTTTTTTGTTGGCAGTACATATTTCAATTGCAAAACTTGCTATATTCTCTTTCCTCATCAAAAATTTTAAAGTACTTCTTTTGACTTTGGATGGGTCTCGGTAAAGGCTCTTCACCCTGCTCGTGATGCACATTGCCATAGAATGCCTTAGGAATGGTAGACCAATAGCTAAAAGTAAGCCTAATCTTCGTGGTGCCGAGATATACATTCACTATGCATGCAAGGGTGTTCAATGCTCAATCATTGTGTGTTCAATATATTTAATCTTGCATTCGATGTGTCCAATCTTGGCATTGCAATCTGCTGTCTCTTGCGCAGTCTGCCCCATAAGCACATACCCCTGGTCAGAAAACCTACCACAAAAAACAGCCTTCGATCGATCGATTGACCTTGCGCAGTACTGCGGCTGGGCCGGTTTCTGGACTCTCTCCACGGCGCCACCCGCATGGTGGGGCTCCCCGACCTGACGTACCGGCTGAGCCTGACCCTTGCCCGGCTCGGCAACGCCCTCTACATCCTCTCGGACAATCTCGTGTGGTTGCACCAGGCCGGACTCCTCAACCTGCGAAGGTGATTCCCTCAAAGCGGGTCGGCGGCGGCATCTAGACACGTTTGCGAAGTGCGGCCTCCCGGTGTCGCCGCCTCGCTCCAGTCGTCTGCAGATCGTCCTATGGCCAAGCTTTTCTAAGGCATGCCCGTCTGTTGCCGGAGCGACGCTCGAACAAAGCTTTCCCACCCACGGTGGCCAGACTAGCTTTTGAAACTGGGCTGCTTGCAGATGTCTCTAGATGCTACTGAGCTGCTGACAACCTCACGCGGTGGCACCGGGGCTGTACTTCTGAACCTGCAGAGGCAATTCCTTCGAAGGGGGTCATTGGTAGCGTCTATACATGTTAGCGAAGTATGGCTTGAGCGCCGTCGTCTTACCGCCGCTCTGCACGGTTTGGCCGTTCAAGCTGGTTCGCGCGTTTGCATTTGCATGGAATTGAGTGCATTGTAGCCGCCCCTGACTGCCTACGACGAGACAACGCACTCGTGCCATCTTTCAGGTTGGCCTGGAACCCTTTTCATCTGCGTACAACTAGACCGAAGATCCCGCAGTATTTGGGGAATGACTTCTTCGCAATATCTACGAGAAACGGTTGCTTAGACCAGAATTTTGTGTTTTCAGTAAATATCGATAAACCCCGTAGAATAACCCCCGAGCCCACCTCATCAAAACAAATAACCTTTAAATAAAGACGTCCTTGAATTAGAAAAAGAAAAAAATTTCACGTTTGCTTCGCAGGAAGAGTTTTTATTTACAGTGTGGGATAACTCGTTTCTCGCGACGGGCAGATTTGTCTGTCATCGTTGAGATCGGTAGTCGTTCTGCTGCTCGTGTCCCGAGCCGGCAGCGCTAATGGTGGGGGCGCGCAACCAACGCACCACCCATTTCGGTCTTCTTCTTTGCGTCGGATTACCCTGCCACGACAGCTTTATTCTGCATTTATTCTGAGGGCACATCCTGCACTGAATTGTCCACGAGGTTGCTGCTTTCTTTGACAACCACATTCTTTGTCTCCTTTCCTTTTCTTACCGGTACTCCGGCCTTTTTTAGGCATTTTTGCCGCACGCACGTTTTCTGCAGGTTGGGGAGCTTACACTCGTGTCCTGTTTTCTGAAATGTAAACCCCAATAAATGCCAATTTTTTTTTTTTCTTCACCATTCCCAAATATGTACGGATTAGCCTTAATAGCCAATCCTGAATGATTCAGATGGATGGATGGGTAATAACGGTTCTAGTCTTTATAATGGGCAGTAGCTTGCGCCACCTAGCTTTTCGCCGCTTGTTAAGGTGTGCCCACAGTTGCCAGAATGGTGCCCCAGCCTAGTCTTTTCCACCCGCAGTGGCCAGATTAGACTGTAAAGTTGCTGCGGCAGTGTGACGTCGGCTCTCTCACCTACGGCATGTTGACAAGATAACGACTCGTTGCCCATCCCAAGCGTGTCGCTCTTCTTTGGGTCCTTGCGTGCAGGGTTTGCGACGCTTGTTCGGCATCCCGTTTCGGGATCAGGTGGCAGAAACGCAAAAAATTGTAGATAAATGCCTTGAGTCCCGTTGCTTTTTCGGAAATGGTATTATAGTTGGTTTAGCGTCTTGTAATGACTGCCTTTAAAATTGTAATTGCAACATTACCCAACAGAGCGTCGATTAAAAAGTTTATGAACGCACTTTAGCTAATTAGCCGACTGATTGTGATGGTTATCTACCCACTTCATGTTCACCAAGCCCAACAAACATGAAGTGAAGACTGTATTCGTGAATCATACCACTTTTTTAAAAAGTCTGTTTGATTTGAAAGTAAACACCTCATACATTTGCCCTGTTTTGATTCCCAACTGGTGCTTTCTATTGGCTATTCCTGGTCCACTTCCCATCTACAAAAGTTTCATACTTTTTTTTTTTTTTTTTTTTCCATAGGCATGCAATTGTTTGCATGATGTTAGAGGCGATTTTTCCTCCGAGAAAGCTTGTGCAGATTTATTTTTGGGAAAGCTGCAAAAAAAAAAGTGGTGCCTCACAGGATTGGAACCATACTTTTTTTCAGCAGCCTCAAGGTTCAAAGGGCATTAAAGAGGGAAGTGGGGATACACAGTACAAAAAAAAAATAATTAAAAAGTGAATATTTTTATGCTAGTTCCACCACTTTCCTACTCAGGTGAGAACAAGCGAACGTAAACCACTGGTTGACAGTTCAGTGGCACGAGCATGCGAAGCATGTGCCAAAGCAACGATCATATACACCTTTTGTATGCGCATTTAGCAACTATATCAAGTGCACATTTGTGGACGTTCTGGATAATCCTGACAATGCTAGCACTTAGTTTTTGAAAAGAAAAAAAAAAGATGCTATCAGATTTGTTTTGATTTGCTGTTGAGCTTTGACGGCAAGTATGATGTTTTCGGTTTCTTCATGCTAGGTATGCTGAACTAAGACTGGACTCACTAGTGCCCTTGTGCCGTTATGAGCAAGGTACACATTTGGGGAGAACCATGATATATCACATTACTCCCCTGCTTTTTGTCAGTCGTCCGAGCATGTCATCGCTGTTTTAAGGGCCCCAAGTCTCATTTGTGTCAATGCGCCACCTTCCTGCAGGGAATCTTGGAGCCGAACCAGCAACAAGTTTTGGTTGGTGGCCATCGTGGCGTCCCTCTCGCGCGACATCACCGAGCTCTGCCGAATCATTCCGCCGCTCCTGCTGTCGCCACCTCACATGCGGCCGTGGAAAAACTCCGGTCTCACTTTGCTCAGAGTTGCCGGACTGCACAGGGCACTGCTCCTGGACTTGGTGAAGAATCTGGCGGACTTTTGGATTCCATACTCCAATCTAGGTCATGCGACCCTCGAACCTGGAACCGTAGGACTGCTAGGAGTGGTGTCTAGCGTGGCAGCCATATTGCCCATGTTGGACCCGTCGTACGTGCTCACTCCTGCCTGAGTGCTCAAGGAACTTTGTGAATCTTCAGGGTTTTGATAGCCCTCAAGGACCTTTGGGACCTTCAGGACCTTTGGACGTTCAGTATCTTGAAGATATTTGGGGTCTCTTTAATCCTCGAAGTCTTCCATACGTTCAGGCTTTTATGAGCCCTTAAGTACCGTCAGGACCTTTAGAAACTTTAGGACATTCTGATTCTTGAAGACATTTGGGACCTCTTAGATCCTCAAAGACTTTCACAGTTTCAGGTTTTTCAAGACTTTGAGGATTAGTAATGTAAGAATATTAGGGTCTTGAAGGGCTTTCCTCTGCAGAGTTTTTCAGGATCTTTGTACAGTATTGTCAGACATCTGCTGTGGAAAGGCTTGTCTAAGACCCTAATGTGCAGTTGTGTCAACTTTATCGTTAGGGTTGCCATCAGCTGTGCACTGTGCATTGGAGTGACTCAGTCATCCTCATGCAGGTCAGATGTCATGGCATTAGTCACACCACCAATGTTTTTTTTGTTTATGCCTTTATCTTTTGCATGATTGCAGGATATTCTCCTGGAAAGTTTTGGGGAACACAGATATTCTCAATTATCTTTCTTTTAAGGCGCACATGGTTAGGTCAGGTTTTGGGAATGGTGACCTCGTTAAATCTGTGGATTATATCTAGGACTCATTGCTAAATGGATACAGTTTATTTAGCAAGAGAAGATATGGGCAGCCCAGCATGTGTATTATGGCACAGGGCTACTTGGGACCTTCAGTTTTCTATGAGGGTCCTTTTTTTTTTTAATATCTTGTGCGTCAACGAACTGGTACAGTCTTTTGGATGGTCAAAGGAAGCTTGTATATTAAAAAAAATATATATATGTTTTGTTGAATATGAATAAATGATTTCATTGCAATAACATTTAATTGCAACTTAATTTTGTGGCTGTGAGGAGACCAAAACGACTTGATTGTTGGATCTCTCATGTAGGACAGTTTGCCATATCTTTTCCAGGAATGGAACTCTACTATTTGAAAGATGGTGTTTTATTAACTCTGTAGGTGACTTTAGTTTTGTCTTCAACAGCTAGCAGTCTCTGCATGGTATTTGCGTTTTATTTTTCAAGTAAACAATTGAATATTGTAAATTGTTTTGAGCTGATCTTTATACATTATTCATTGCTGTTTTTTTTTTTTGTTTTTTTATTAAAGACAAAATAATAGTTATAAAAATACTACACATCGAAGTTTGTGCAAAATTGTATGCAAATTTTCTTAGACTATTTTGGGTCTTGTCTTTTCCGATGGAATGTAGACAATAATTCACGCGTTTCAGTTTTTTTTTTTTTTTTTTCGCCTATTCGTTGTTTGCAGTTTTGTTTCGCAAACGGAGCGAGCCATACCCCAGTGTGTGTTCCACATCCTTGCGGAAACTTGAAATAACAAAACAAAAAACATGACAATTTAAGTATCATAATTAGTCAGTGCTGATTAAGTAGCCAATCAGACCGATCAGAATCCCACGAGCGGGCAGTTTTCGAGAGATTAGCGAAGTCCAATTAAAAAGGCTTAGAGATCGCCTCTCAGGCGCGCCAACAACAAAACACAAGCAAGAAAAATGCCAATGACGAAACATGCGCCCCCCTACGGGAAAAGAAAAAAATAGAACTAAAACGAGCCGCGCCGAGGCGAACAAGCGACTGGGAGGAGTGGAAAACCTTTCCCTCTGTAGAATCTCCTCTGTCGCCGTCGGGCGGCAGCCATGTTTGTTCGTTTTTTCTGACGTTCGAAGCCGAAATAATGAAGCGGGTGATTTGGGCCGCTTAACTATCAGCAACCAGTTAAACTCTACTAGTTTGCACGTCCGTGCGACGCGAAGTGTGCTCCGTGACAGGAGGTGCCACATCAATTCCGAGCGTCGCAAGGGTTTCCCCAACTGACCGAACGAATCGGCCGGACAAGTACGCTCCGTGGTGTCTTGTGAGTTCGGCCGTGGGTCTGCCTTCGCAAGCGTGCGCGAAAAAAAAGAAAAGGCTTCTCCGACGCGGTTTTATTTTGTGTGTGCTTGTATTCCAAGTGTCGCCGACACGTCTGGACGTGCGTTCAGTTGCGTCGGGGCTCGGAAAAACGTGCCCGAGCGCGGATCATCGAATCCGGGCCTTTCGGATAAACGGAGCCAGCCGCTAGGCCTAAGCGACTTGACCCTTCAGTTCTGAATGCCGGTAGCCGCCGAGGATCGCCGAGACAGTCGAGGTAAGCGAACGCGCGGCCTTCGCCGCTGCGGGGTTCACGGACGAAGACTGTAAACAAAGTTTACGTCGGTCATTTTGGAGGAACGCTGATATTTGGTTTTGATCCGAACTGCTATCGCTTGGTGAGGTCTGGGTCCAGTCAGCTTTGCTAGTTTAAAAACGTATAAAAATGAAAAACAAAAACACGCAGAAGTGTATCACGTCGGAGACATGTGGGCTTTGCGAAGTTATGTTGAGAAAACTTTATTGATTCGGTAAAATTAGTCTGGGATGAAAACTTCAGAACCGAGATGAAGTAAAAGGGTGGCTGATCTGGTTTTTGGGAGTTAATTGAAGTCGCCATAATTTCCCTTCGTACTTTCTTTTTTTATTTTTATTTATTTTTCTTTTGAGGATGCTTTGCAGGATTTAGAAAGTGTTGGGCGGTAAAGACCAGCGATCGTGTAATGCAACACTCGTGTTTGGATTAATAATATGGCGTCGCCAGCGGTGTCGAAACGGAGTTATTTCCGCCGAAGCGCCGGGTAATGTAATGCGGTGTCGTTACTGCGGGGGGGAGGGAAGCGAACCCGCTGATTGGCATGCTGGCCACGTTTCATTTAAAAACCGACGCCGCTCCGACCTCCGGCGCGCCTCTACAACGCGTTGGGGAATTCGTCGTTCGCGCCCAGACTTGAGGCTGGCTCGAAAGATTGCGTCCTTCGTGAAAAATGAAATCGGAACGCGGTAGCTCAGCGTAAAAACTTGCACCCCTGTGGTCTTGACCCCACTTCGCGTTGCGGGGGAGTTGGGGGACGGGTGGGGTAGGTGTCGCCATCTATCGGGACGCGCGGCAGCTATCAAAACGATGCCATCGCCGATAGGGAGAGATAGGCATGTCGGGTGTATATATAGACGCGAGAGGGGGAGGGCACGAACCAATGAACCCGTCGCGGGAGAGGAGGCACGCGATGGAGGGGAAAGGAAAACAAAATGGCGGACGCCGCTAGCCTTTGTTCGCGTTGAATGCTCGGCTGCTCGTGCGACCAGCTGCTAGACGCCGGCTGATGGTTACCGGCGTGTTTTTTTACGTGAACTCAATTCGTCTCTGAGGCTTCTGAAATTCGGCCGTGTGCTGCCTGTATTCGAGTGCACTGGCGGGTTTTTATCTGGTTGATTAGGATGCGCGCTATCGCTGTCTGCAGCGATAACGAGGCTGCGCTGATTAGGGTCGGCGCTTGTCTTGGTTCTCTTCGGTTTCTTCGCTCGTTCCTTCGGCGAGGAGCGCGTCGCAGAGTTCGATTTTTGGGAAGGCAGCGGAGAGGAAAGGGAGCGCTCTCCGTGGCGCGGAGGGGGAGGGAGGAGGCGACTGGCGAACAACAATACAAAGTAAAAACAAGGAAAACAAAACTGGCGTCGACGGCGGCGGCGTTGTCCGTCGCCATTCGCCGCGAGGCACGGCTGGATGGTAAGGTAGGGAAAGAACGAAAAACAAAACAAAAAGGAGCCAGAAAGAAAGAAAGAAAGGGCGGCAGACGAAAACCCGAGACGGTAATTAACGAAAAGTTCGCCATTTTGAAAACGACACTACAGCAGGCTACTAAATAGTGACGCCAGCGTTTTGCGTTAATAATGCCAAATTATTTTTTTTTAATTTTTCGGTTTATTTTTGTTTTTTTACTTTATTACGTGGAAGTGTATCGTCGTCTTTCTCTTCACTTGTGATGTCTTCGACGCGCAGAGACAGAAAACAAAATGTGACAGTCTTTGCTACTGCTGCTTGGGACAAAAATACACACCACGTAAGTGCAATCAGCGTGCCTTGGAGACCTTTTTCCTTTTTTTTTTTTTTTTTTTTTTTTTGTTATGGAACCAAAAGTGAATGAGTGCTTGATCATCTCGGATCCCGTACTCGCTTCGAACTCAGTCCATCGGCGATTTCTTCTTGGAGAGGGGATAGTTCATGGGTTAGGTCGCCGAGTTAATCGTTAACCCGTGTAATGGCTTGTCGCTAATTGCTGCGACTCGTCGCGATGTGGCCAAAAAGCATAGGAAAGTGTCATAATCTAAACCTGGCCTGCATACTTTCGCGTCTTGCAGGAAAGTGTATCGTTTCCATGATCCATGTGTGTTTGACTTAAAAACGCTCCAGAGATCGCGGTTATTGTAGATTCAATTCGTCTAGATATCGGCGTTTTTTTTTTTTTTTTTTTTTTTCTTCGTTTAGTTTGACGTTTTGTCAGTTCAGAGACCACACCACGAAGCTAAGAACTCGACATCCCTGAAAACAAACCAAAAAAACACGGTGCTCGAACATGAAATCAGTGAACTAAGAAAAAATTTCTTTAGCTCACGGAACCGCGAGTGCAACTAAAGCAGTTGGTCTGTGAAACTTTCCGTTGTGCAGAATCAATTCCCCCCTCCCCCAAATTTTGGGTTGTGAGTGCTTTGCCCGAGTTACTTTTAAGGAACGCTGGCAAGGCTTCACAAACACCGCTGCACTAAAATTTACCGGAAATATAAAAAAAAAAAAAAAAAATCGAAAAACAGAAAAAGCGAAGCGACCAGTTGTTTCTCTCCGCGACGTTTGAGTCGATTCATCGCTTGCATTGTCCTTCTCTCCCTCTCTCGCTGTGTGCCATTTAAAACTCGGGTGTTTCCCGTTCGTTCCTTGAATTCATCTTAGACGCACGAAGGAAGGGATATTTCCTTTAAGCTGTCTCCCTTTGTATCTACTCTTGTAGCATTACAATTCCGGTAGCTGGCGGATCCTTGGCTTGGGAATCAGGTTTATTTATGAGCGTGTTTGTGTTGTAAGGTTGGATGGAGCATCTCTGTGTACTAGACCAACCGCACCTCAACCCTCCTGGGTCGAAATAAAGGTTATCACTATACCACTCGCCTTGTCTGAGCTGACCGACCTTGGCTTGACGACTCGGTGTTGCTGATCATTCGTGGCTGCAAAATGCCAGCACTGCAGTCTGTTTTAGTTTGTGCTCCGTTTTTGAACCATGGCATCTGCCTTGACTTTGTTAAATGCCATCTTTGCCGTGATGTAAGTGATTATCGTTCAACCTTTGCTTTTCGATCAGACTTCGTCGTGTTTTCGTTTTGTCCTTTGTAGTGGCTCTTTGTACGCACTGCGACACTGGTAGCACGAACAAGCCATCGGCAGTTTTTTTTCTTCTTCTTACTGTTGAAGGATGGTCATCAAAACCATTGATATGGTGGAAAGTGTTCAGTTATGTTACTAACCTAATAATTTTGATGTCTGCCAGTGCCCTTTCTAAGTGAAATGTGAAAAGCGCCGAAGTAGTGTACAGGCATCGTTTGGTAGTACAGTGCAATAACAATAATGAAAAAAAAAAAAAACGAAAATTCAATCGTCATAACCGATTCCTCTTGTATCTAGACTAAAAACTGAATCTTTCTAGTCTAGAAACGAATCATTATAAGCAGTATTTCATTATATGTGGCATCCTTATAAGTGAATTGTGCTGTAGTCGAAAGCCTTAGTGTAGGATCTGTTTAAAGTTATGGCCTCTTCCTGGCAGAGCTTGAAATAAGGCACAGTGGCAGGAGCGAAAGACCACTGGCCCAGAGCCGTGTATTGGGAGAGTTTGGCCAATAGGCGGAGCAAAGGCTGCCGCCGGCGCCGAATATTCCCCCCACGCTAAGAGCGCAAACTAAATTTGTGACATC